TAAAATATAAACAGCAGTGTATATATAAAAAAACCTCTGGAGTACTGAGCAACAATGTATTTGAGAAGTGGTGTAAATCTGATGTGGATACTTAAAAACTCCAAGGAACTTTTAGAAAATTTGAAATCACAAAATTTTCCTAAAATCAAATACATCAAAACGTACAACTTTTCAACACTTTATACAAATACTCCCAACGATAAGTTGAAGTACTGACATCATAGACAATTGCTTTTTCAATTAGAATGGAACTCGTTAATTTTGTTACCTTGTCATTGGTCATTTGCAAAATTATTTTGTTAAAAAGCATTCTGATTGTAAGCACAAGTATTCTAAAGTTGATATTAAAAAGATAGTTCAGTTACTGATTGACAATATCTATGTGGTTTTTTTAAGATCAATGGTAAGAGGGTACTGTTATTAAAAAAAAATGTGTAAAAATTTATGTATGGACAGAATTGTATGAAACTTTGGGAAATATTGCCTGAAGTGTTGTCTATTATAACTTTACTTGAATTAGTCATGTTCATTTTTAAAAGTGCGCGAAGCTGTATATTTTCATGTACAATTTTCCTCCTACATTGTGGGTGGCCTCCCTATCAAATGATATGAACGAATTTGAAAATGTACAACGTCAGGATGCTTAAACATTTATATCACTTATCAGGATGCTTAAACATTGATATGACTTATCATTGTTTTGATGTTCTTGAGAAGCTTTAACATTGTTGTTTTTGAAATATTTTTACAGATTTTTTAAAAATATTTTTCCAGGTTTAATTTAATCTCTGGTTCGGTCCAATCTTGCTATCAAGGACTATACCTTGAAGGAATAAGACTTGAATCTACATTATCTCACAAAACTTTCACTTTTCATATTGTAAACCAAGAGGTTTTGAAAAGAAGCTTTTTCTTAAAATGACCCCGTCCTATTTATGAAAAAAATATGATGACAACGACGACAGACAGAAAACGGACCACTTTTTATCAAAATGTTTGGTTTAGCCTTTCTATCATTAGAATAAATTTCTTTTGGTCTACATTACGATCAGGACAACAATTTCCTATTCAATACAGAATATATGAATATAAGAAAAAATAAAACGAACAACAAATTACCGTCCAAACTGATCCTCCTTTATTCAGGCATGTGACTTGAAAACTCTTTCCACCTATCTTTGCCAAGTCAGTCAACTCTACGCCTTCGGAGATTGGGATAAAACCACAGTCAGTAACTTAAATTAATAAAAGTTTGTCAAATCAAAATTCTCTTACAAACAGAATTTATTTTTGTTTTATAAAATATTAGAATGATGAAAGCATGTTATATTGTTAACAGATGTATTTGAAAAGTCTTTTTTTTTTTTATTCTTAAACATTTAATGCTACTTAGAAACCACACTTTTTTGAGGACCCTGAGGTCCTTAAGAGGCAAAGATAAAATTCTGAAACCTTGATTACCTCTGCCTGATAAAATCAAAAGAATGAGATAAAATCATTCGTTCTCTTCAATTTCAAACTTATAGGGGAAGTCCATTGACATGTCAATTTACGTCCCTTTATGAACATCCTGGCACCATAAAATATTTAGATCCTAAATGCAAAACAACATGGCAAGGACATTTGTATGCAAAGACCTTTTTAGCTCCCAAAGACAAAAGAATGTGATTGATGGACTCCTAGACGATGTTACAAGTAATATACAAAGAATGTTTGCCTAACGTTTTGTTGATAATAGGGTGTTTGCTTTCAAGTTTTCATTAAGATTTTTTCAAGGAAACCCCTTTTAAATTAAAAAGTAAGATCACGTGTCCTTTTTTGTAATTATACGCTGAAATTATTTTGGGTCATATAACCATGTTTATTCTTTCTTTCGATTATTTAAGAGAAAATACTGGGAATTATAAAGCAAAACGTTTATATTGCGAAGTTGGTTCTAAAAGTATTTCACTCCAATTATTTCTAAAAAAAAAATATATATACATGTATTGAAAACATAAATTATTAGGAATGAGCGAGGAAAATAAAAAGTGTGCATTTGAAAAATTAGTGATGGTACAATAACTGCTTTTACCATTGTTACATCTAACTTTAAATGAAGTAGATTTTTTTTCTCAAAGAAAAAAAAAATACTGCCTTAATTAGTAAAAGATGTACTAACAGATATTCCAAAAAGTAAATAAATTATAAAAAAATAAAACTAAAAGATGCTTTGAGTAGTATTTTCATTGAGATCCTTTAATGTAATTTCAAAGCGTTTTACTTATATTTTGTGGCATTGGGAAACCTAAATGCTGCATAATTAACATAAAGTGGTTATCAGATCTGTCACAGAACGCATTATTGGACGTCAATGCAAGGTTTCCTCACATGTCAAAGAACTTTATGAATATTGCATTGACGAAAGTTAAAGTATTACTTCAATTGGTCGTAAAGAGTAAACATGTCGATGTGTTTTAGAAATTGAGTTGATTTAACAAAATTTAAAGAGAATAAATGCAACACATGTGTCTTTTATGAAGAAGACAAATATACTGCTTACTAAATTATTTAGTATAATCAGAAAGGAAACTGTATTGATCCATACTCTGTTGAAAATAAAAATCAATAGCTTTTGTCTTTTTCCATTGTGTTCATTTTACATCTCTTAAAGAAAAATATATTGTATTTAGATTGGATTTTTTTTGGGGTGCTTTTTGTCGCCATGGAACGTCTACATACAAAGCAACCCATGGCTGTAAGTGAGTTATTAAAGTTCCTGAAAGAGTGAATCTATTGTTCATATTTTACTTGACTGCTAACAATTACGAGTTTTTAGTTTGAATGACTGGAAAATATTAATTATTTTCAAAGATTCAACCCTGAGATGCATTAACCAAAATAAAATTATCCCAGGATTAGAAAAATACAAATCTAAGAAAATGCTTTTAGATATTTCTTTTTCTTTTTCTTTCTTTCTTTCTTAAAAATTGCTGATTTCTTATTAGTCCCCTACCGGTGAAACCGGGGGGACTATAGGTTTCTTCTGAGTCTGTCCATTCGTCCGCCTGTCTGTCTGTCTACCTGTCTGTCTGTCCGTTTAGCTGTCTGTCTGTCTGTCAGTCTGTCCCACTTGGTTTTTCGCAATTTTTTTTAAACGCTTGCAGACATTTAGGTGATTTTTGGTATGTGAGTGAATCTTGATGAGTTACATATCATGTTTGCATTTCATTCTGCCTCAATGGTTCTTGATGGAATTATGACTATTTTTAATTTTTCAGGGTTTTTCACAATTTCTTTCTAAACGCTTGCAGATATAGAGCTGAATTTTGGTATGTTACTTTACCTTGATGCGTTATAAATTAAGTTTGCATTTCGTTCTGCTTCGCTGATTTTTGACGGATTTATGGCATTTTCAATTTTTAAGGAGAACCAGATTACACTTGCCGACAGGGGACTAATATTGCTAATGCAATACTCTCAGAATGGTTGTTATTTATAACCTTTTTGTAGGGAAGGAAGAACTTATAGAGAGAGAAAAGAAATGTATGACTTGAGCAGCACTCAGATATGATGTTGACTTCGATGAAGGCAAGATTATATTATGTAAATTTCTGATATATGTTGCAAAGAGCAACAAGACGAAGTCATTTAATATGGAAATGTATCTTTTTCCCCTCCTATTAAAGAAGCATTCAGAACATATCATTATATTTTTTCAAAAAGATCATTATTTTTGCCAAAAAAGAAAGCCTCAGTCAAAATTAGATTAAACGTTGAAGTCTACGAACTTCAGGCACGTAAGAAGGGGCTGGAGGGTCTCCCCCTACTTTCTGAGAGGTATTAAATTATATATTTTTCAGAGGCAGGGAAAGAGATACATGGATTGACGTAACTTTAATTATGATGTGGCTTTTTCATTTTTTTTTTCAGAAAAGAGAAATTCGCATGAAGAACGATTTTAACAATGAGTTTACTCATAAGACATCAATTAAATCTGAGTTAGCTAATTAAGCCTAAATTAACTTTCCAACACCGACAATTTAACAGACAGTTAATTTGGCGTAAGAAATTTAACGGTTAGTTACGGCGCTAACTTGAAGTTAATTTAACTATGGTTTGAACAACCGGATCCAAATTTTTGTTAAATAACGGGCAACAACTGTAATAAGAAATGAATCAAATTACTTGACATGCGACTTTAATAGTTCAGGAGTATAAAATCATAAATAGGTACTTCATAGTTTGATAAAAGAAAAATGACTTGGAAACAGTATGTTGTTATTGTAAGGTCGAAAAAAGGATTTCAACTTTGACAAAAGGATTAAATTCTATGAAACTTCAAGTCGATCTGCAACTTTCTCAAAATAAATTTTTTACTTACAATTTCCTCTTAAATGAAAAAAAGAAAAGTGAAGATAACGAACGGTGTTCTATCCAGAAAAAAATCTATAAACAATACAAATCTGTGTAAAGGGCATAAAACACGAACCCCTGGAAATTCAAGGTAGGAGCAAGCATCCCATGTTGACTGGTACCACCGCACCTTGGGCCATATATATTGATCAAACAGATCAATCATTTATTCATTAATTATTCAATCATTAATAACAATGTATTAAATGTCCTTTATTTATATTTACATGTATATAAAAACAATGATTTATTTTCTAAGGATGAAATGTGGAGATAACTAACAGCTTTCTCAGCTTAATCTGGAGAAAGCATGCCTCTGATTGAACATATGATACTTTTTCATGTCAAAATTATACTCTTGAGGATCATATACTAGTGAAATATGGTGAAACCAAATGTGATTTCTGAATATCACATTCGTTTGTATTCTATAAATTATATTGTATTTTGACAAGTTTAATACTAACTGTGACAATTAATGTTGACGTCACTCCAGAAACCGTTCTTCATACATTTTACGATATCGTCTCCTGCTTTCTCGTAACCTTCAGCACATTTAATCATGTGGCTGCTACCAAAATCAACAGACTTTTCAGATGTAAATGGTTTTGTGTTGCGCGCAAGACTTAAATTTAGAGGATGGCACTCTGAAGAGAGGAGAAATATACAAATATTATGTTAGCAAGTAGACTAAAGAATTTATTAAAGAACTTTGAATGAATTTAAAACAAGACAACAAAAACAAAAGTACTCCTAGTATAAACAATTAGAATTGCTAATTCAAATATCTAAATCTTTAATCAAGGAATACATACGAGCCAATTCACATTTATGAGAAGTGAACGATCCTCTTTTACACTTTTCGTTTACTTCACAGTTTGAATGTTGACAAGATCCAATTAGTTCCTATGAAGTTAAGAAACAAGCATGTCTTTGAATATATATATATATATATATATATATATATATATATATATATATATATATATATATATATATATATATATATATATATATATATATATATATATGTACATACTTATTTAGAAATGAATTGATGAACAAATAATAGATGTGATATTCGCAGATATTTTCGGTAGGTGTTAGCGGTCGACAGGTCGACAGGGAATGTTTGATCAGAGCTGGGATAAGGTGCCATGGAGAAATAGCATCCGCCGTCGATCGGTCACAACCGCAATGTGCTCCTTGTCATGATGAAACTAACGCAAAAATCCGTAGGGAATTTAGAGTGAAAATCACTACCTAACGATTTGTATGAAAAACGTCAGTAAGCATTATATTTAATGATACATCTTTTACTGATAAGGTCATTGTATCGGCCATAGAATGTGCAAAATGTTGACTTTAAAGAAGACTGTTGATATTCTTGTTTCACCAACCTATTTGACAGTAGCTTGCCTCATTTTAGAAATTGTTCATACAAAGAGCATGCCCTTGCCTATTGAATCAACTGGGAGGCGTAAACTCAACTTACAGGTGATAATATAATATTGCTATATAAATAAAGTAAGTTGACGATAGAAAAGTTGACGTTATCACTTTTATTATAAAGTTTTGTTGTTAGTTTACCATTAACGTAAATCTTTTTCATGCAAAATATCCAAATATGAAACAGATGTGTCAGAGGCTGTGGTATCTTTCAAGTTCAAAGGGATAGATCGAATCAACAAAAGATTGAAAATTAATATTGTTCATTGATAAAAAGTCTATGATATACACTGTATCTAAATATTGAATTGAAGGACACAGCAAGAGACTTTTTTCTTTTCATGAAGAAGTTTTGAATAAATTCTGTTTCATATGAGTAAAAAAAAATAAGTCTGCTGATGGGACGCAATTAGTACCCGTGGAAATTCCGACAGATCGTAGGAAGACTTGATCTCCAAGAAGTACATAGATATTATCAATCAGAAACTCAAGCATCTTTTTATTATCTAGTTCGGAGTACTTGTGTGTACAATACTATTTTTAACAATTAAAATATTGTTGCAAATGACCAATGACAAGGTAAGTCTTTTTTCGATTTCCATTTTAAGAAAAAAGAAGCTATCATAATTCGAAAAGCCTTGCCTTTATACAAAATTCATTGTGGGGATTGGTTGTAATAGGTTTTGAAAAGTCGTACGTTTTTATGTTATTGACTTTGACACAATTTTGTGATTTCAAACTTTCTAATTGTTCCTTTGAGTTTTTAAGCATCTATATCTGATTTACACTATTTTTCGAATATAGCGTTGTACTCCTGAATTTTCTTCTTCACTGCTGTTTATATTTCAGAAAGGATTAATGAAAGGGGCATGGTAGAATGTTTACTAGAAGCCGCTATGTATATTTTTTTGCAATGATTTTTTTTTTAAGTACAGGAATCCAGTTTTGGTATGGTAATTCAAATTCGATTAAAACTGACATATGCGTTTGAAGAATTTCCGCCTTGGAAAGGAAATTTAAGTGCAAGTTGGATCATCACTTGCAGAATTAATTCAAAGTTCCTCTAATATACATTTAAAATCATGAGCCTTTAAACAAAAACAATTTTGTAACCTGCTTTATAGTTCTCAGCTGGGACCAATGCAAGCTAATCATGTATCATTCTAAGTCTTTTTTCGCTTCTGAAGTATTTAAGATAAAAGGATACGCAGGTATGTTAAGGAAGCATATAAGTCAATTCTCTGGAAATTTAGACTTTTTAAAGAAAATTAAGTTTGATAATTTACCAAAACCGCTGATAAATGTAAACTATTATTATCTATTGCATAAAGATAAAAGAGTGTCTAACGCAAAGACGTGCACCACCACCACGGCATCACGTGACTTCTATTAATAGCGAAATTTTCCTTAGTAAAAAAGCCAACAGAACAACAATACCCCGAAGTGTAATAATTTCTTTGAGTAAATAATATAGTTGGAAAACATCTATTTTGCCTAAAAAGTGCTGCTAGAATCCCACTGTTCCGTCAGTAAAATAATAATTCCACACATTCGCACGAAACCTTACCCGATGTTTTGAATTTTATACATATTAACCGAGATTTTTCGTAAAACCATGCTTAACTCGGGATTCTAGCAGCACTTTCCAAGTATTTTAGGAGGCAAACTTTCCATCTGTACAAATCTTATGTTTTGAAATATACAGCTTATTGTTGTTCTGCTGCATTATTTTTGTCACAAATGACAGAGGAAAGGCCGACCGGGATACGTATATAGCTGACTGTCTTCGAAGAGAATACAATCGATGAAAATAAATTAGCATACCTGTTTTAGTAACTGAACTCCATATGAATTTCACAAAATATTCAGGATATTTGCTTTTAAACTCCATTTTACGTATCTTTGTACATGCCGTCTTAGCCAATTCTCTTTACACGACATGATCAATTCCCAAGTTACTTGAAGTACACATATGACGTCATCGGTGGTAGATTTTAATCAAAATGACAGATACAGCATAACAAAATAAAAACATTTTATTTTTGTTAATGTTTACACGTTTCTATTCATTTTCTAGAGTTAAATTACATCTCTAAATACGAATATTACGAAAACTTGTATTCTAAAATTGACGTCATCTCGCCTACTATGACGTCATAATGTAGAACTGATTAAGTCAAGGTAGAATATTTTGTATGCTTCCTTATTACCCCTGCGTAGATGGTTTTCATATTGCCCTTCAGTTGCTTAATGCTTAAGCCAAACATGATAACAAGACATTCAATATTATTTTTTATTACCGATATGGTCATCGGTGCACATAATATTTTTATATATTTTAATATATATATATATATATATATATATATATATATATATATATATATATATATATATATATATATATATATATATATATATATATATATATATATATATATATATATATATATATATATATATATATATTGACACTCACCATAGGCCACCTTTCCTTTCGGCTAAATATCCATTCCGCCTGGGACGAAAAATTTGAATGCAAACTTTTGTCACTATCATAGTTCAGTTCACAAAATACAGCTGCACGTCTATAATTGAAAGACCAACATCCTGGTCGAATGAGGCATTCTTCTACACAGTCTAAAACACTGATCTGTGCTATGGTTGTCAGAAGTTTCCCAATTAATCGCTTACCCCACTTAAGGTTACCGTAGCCGTTTTTAAGTGATGCATTAGCCAGACTATGCAAAATGACAAGGATCAAGTAATTCTTAAAAGTTTTCATTGTTATACCAAAACAATCATAATAAATATATTTAAAAACTTGACGATGAAATCATCATCACTACCAGTTCTGACCAATATATGAACAGTAGAAAGACAATGCATTTTGAGCAATGAATTGATCGTCAAAGGAGTGTGAATATGCAATTAACAATAAAAATCAATAGATTTTTGGATAAAACCATTGTCGAGCCACGGATACACGTACTTTCCTACATCTTTAATTTTCAAGGACGTTCTTTAATCTGAACTGTACAAATTTAGAAAAGACTAAATGATTCTCTCGGGAGAGCCTCTGATAGTTAAAAAATGTCATTTTAATGAGGAAATGAATAGAAAGGATACAAGGGAAAAATTTAAATGCGAGGCGAGAGGAGACATATTTTCACATCCACTTAACAGTTTAACTATTTATGGTATTGATGTGGTTTTTCTACGTACATTTGGTATAGAAAATTTTGTAGTTTGACGGAGAGTATATATATATATATATATATATATATATATATATATATATATATATATATATATATATAGAAAGCACAAAGAAATTTACTTTTTATAAGGATACCCACCTCCGCCCCAGCCCGGGGTTGAACTCTGGACCAAAGGAACCTGTCTCCTAGCAGTACAGAAACAGCGCGCTAGACCGCTTGGCTATCTAGGCAAATATATATACGGGTTTATACATGGTTTGATTTCATTTTTGTTATTATTTTGTGTTTGCTCTTCTGTTCAGGAATATCTTGTCCGTAGTTCATTCACATGAACAATACATGAACCAGGTCAAAATTACATTATACAGGTACGTCATGTAACTAAGTTTTGCTTGCGTAGGAGGTGTGGCAAGATATGGATATAAGGCACATAATGTCAATGTTATTTTAATTTTTTGTTTTAAAATTGTAGCTCACCTGAGAAATAGACCCTAACGTATGGTGTCTATTCTGTGTAGTCTGTAAATTTACATGGTCGACCTCTCCAGAACCACTAAGGCAATATCAACCAAAAATATCCTAATAAAAATTAAACCAAGTCAGTTTAAAATGAAGAAACACTTCATTTAAATAAAAATACTAAAAATGTTGCATTAAAATGTGGTCATGAAAAAAAATGCTTTTTGAAAAATCCTCCTTATTGACAGATGCTTGGGGTTTTAATTCATGATCCAAAGGTTTTAGATGTAACCACACAATTTTCGATTTTTGAAACGGAAAACAATGCCTCAATTTGAAACATGAAGTGCATGGCCTTAATGGTCACCTGGGTATTATGTTACCAGTTTTGAATCTTTTCTTAAGTTAAGGAGAGTAATAAACTCATGGTAAGCGGGGCCCAAAAAATTAGGTACACAATATTTAAGTATTTGCAAAATCTGTCACATGGACATAAGCTTTCGGGGCTGAAATACCCCTTTCAGTTCTTTGCTTTTGCGAATACGAAGGAACATTAAATCTCATTCGTCTGTAACAGTTGTCACAAAAACTTTATCCCAGGACAAAACATTTGACTGAGAAAAAATACTGTGCCTCCATGTTACTAATCACTTGTTTTTTTTATTATATTTTTCAATGCATGTAAGCTCATTTCAACTCGAATAGACCTCGCTGCAGTACTTTTGTAACATTTTCCTGCGCCCTTCAATGGTATAATTTTCAGCGGAAATTTTCTTCGAAGTAAAAACATAATAACAATTAAAGAAAAAGAAGAAACAACACCGCAAATATAGACGTAGAAGTGGAATCCTTCATTTGTCATTGTTTTCAGAATACCGTCAACAACTTCGATCGTTACGATGAGTACCGGTACTGGTTGGTGTTACGACGTAATAAAAACATACAATCAATCAATGAATCAATATCCCTAAAAAATTGTCCCTGAACAATCACCAGTTTTTAAGTGATAATTTGTTCTTCAATTCCTGCTGATAAGGGGCGTATAGATGTTTTCGCATGGGAAAGTTTGATTGTAAAGTAGTTAATGAGCTCTATAGCGCAGTTCTGTTAAGGCTGCATAAAGGGGGCGGGGCCTAATTTTCACGGGAAATGTCTACTGTGACATCACACAAATATAGCAGTTCCTCACAACAACACAAAATGAAATATTTTGAGGCTTTAAGCTGCATAAGAGTGATGAACTACATCAAAACTTACCACTGCATTCATTTTTGTCGCTAGTTAAATCCCACACAGCAAGATATAAACAAGTCACTGAACGCAATGCACTTGTCGACATGACGTCATCATGGTAAAATTTGACGCATTTTATGTGCAGTGAGAGGCGGATCAAGTAATTTTTCCACAGTGATAAAAGCATTTTATTATTAAACAAAATATTATTTGCAAATCTGAGGTAGACCATTAATACAAATCTGAAACTTTTGTTTAGTGCCATTATTTAAAAACTATCGAAAGAATGAATTGAATTAATTCTACCGTGTTTTTGTGTACAGGATGTGCATGTTTCACGCCGCGGTGCCTCATTAAATCACCTTTTCGCAAGGGCATACACTTAATAGATCTTGACCATTTTTTGAATATGCATAACGGAAACATTCCTTAACTTGAAAAGTGCTGCTGCTTTCGTGAAATCGAGAGCATTACAAAATAAATAAATAAAATACATGGTAAAGGTCACACATATTTCGACTAGAGCCAAATGACTTGAAATTTAAACTAATAAAATGCGAATTCTATTTAAATCAGCAGCACTATTCATAAACTACAAGTTATATAGATATAATTTTTTACTGAAATTTTTAATTCTAACTAGGGTATGTCCTTGCGATATTGAAATTTGTTTATGACCTACATACAATACACATTACATGCATTTATCACTTGACTATCAACTAACGTGACCAAACCAAATTCCACACAGAGCGGGGAATACAATGTTATTTCAATCAAAATTAGTCATGTGATAATATAGTAGCTTTACAAAAATAATTTGATTTTTAAAAGGTATGTATTTATGCACGTTTATATTCTCTTGATTTCTTCGTAGTACGCCTTGACAGTCCCGCGAGATTCGCGATAAGATGCATCAGCATTTAAATTCAACAAGATGTGTTTGTGAAACACTGATGCTTCCGTTTGGCAGCTCACATCAAAGGTTAAACTTTCTCAAATGCGAATCAAATATGCTGGTACCCGAAGTACGGTCTTGTCTTGGGGAACATAACTGTAAAATATGAAAGCCATATATAGAAGCAACTATTGAATAGATATGGAAATGGTAAATATACTTTAAAGTAAGTCAAACATCGAGTTAGAGTTCAAATGGTCAAATTAAATGGTGCCCAAGGAAAGGCCGTCTCACAAGAAATACATATGTGAAATATGAAAGCCCTAGCACCAACCGATTAAAAGTTATGACCAAGATAAAAGTCTTTCAAAAGTAGGTCAAACTCCAAGTACAAAGGGTCAAAGTTGTTGGTATCCAAAGTAAGGTCTTGTCATGAAGATTACATACGTAAAGTATGAAAGTTCTTGCACCAACTATTCAAAAATTATGGCCAAAGTTAAAGATTCATAAAGTAGGTCAAGTTCCAAGGTCAAGGTCAATTGACTTTAATTGTTGGTATCCGAGGGAAGGTCTTGTCACAAGAAATACACATGTAAAGTATGAAGTCCTAACACCAACTGTTCAAAAGTTATGACCAAGGTTAAAGTTTTCCATAATTATGTGAAATTCTAAGGTCAAGGTCAAAGTGTCAAAGTTGTTGGTATCCAAAGGAATGTCTTCTCACAAGAATTACGTATGTTAAGCAGGAAAACCTAAGCTTCAACCGTTCAAAAGTTATGGCCAAGGTTAATGTTTTTTTTCAAACGTAGGTCAAACTCCTACATCAATGTCAAATGATCAAAATTGTTGAAATCAAAAGGAAAGTCTTGTCACAAGGATTACATAAGCTCTAGCACCAACATTCAAAAAGAATTATGGCCAAGGTTAAAGTTTTCCAAAATTAGGTCAAATTCCAAGGTCAAGGTCAAAGGGTCTAATTTGTTGGCATCCAAAGGAAGGTGTTGTCACAAAGATTGTAGATTCTCAGCGTGAAAGCCCTAGCACTTTCTGTTCAAAAATTATGGCCAAGGTTAAAGTCTTTCAAAAGGAGGTCAAACTACTAAGTCAAGATCAAAGGGTCAAAGTTGTTGAAATCTAAAGGAGGGTCTTGTCACATGGATTACATATGTGAAGAATGGAAGCCCTAGCAACAACAATTCAAAAATCATGGCCAAGGTTTACAAAAGAAGGTCAAACTCCAAGATCAAGGTCAATGGCCTATAATTGTTGATATCAAAGGGAAAGCCGTGTCACAAGGCATTTTCATATTAAAATGAAAGCCCTAGCGGGAACTGTTCAAAAGTTATGGCCAAGGTTAAAGCTTTCCAAAAGTAGGTCAAATTCATGGGCCAAAGTCAAAGGGTCAAAGCTGTTAGTATCCAATGGAAGGTCTTTTTCACAATGATTACAATTGATGTATGAAAGCCCTAGAACCAATTGTTCAAAAGTTATGGCCAAGATTAAAGTTTGGTAAAATTTTCCAAAACTGGGTCAAACTCCAAGGTCAAGGTCAAACGGTCAAATATGAGAGCACCCAAAGAAAGGTTTTGTCACAAGGAATACATGTGAAATATGAAAGCCATAGCTCCGACCAATCAAAAGTTATAGGGGGTTAAAGTTTTTACGGACAAACAGACAAACAGACAGATAGACAGAGAGACGGACGGACAGGGCAAAAACAATATACCCCCGAATCCTCGATACGGGGGCATAAAAATTACGTGGCAAAACGGAACCGGCAGATATTTTCTCGTCTTATAATTCGAAGCACCTTTTTTCCAACGTGTTGGACACAATGCTTTGTACAAATTCACACACACACACAAAAAGAAAATATAACAATTGTATACTTTTCATACACACATTTTACAATCCTATTTTCTCGAATTCAACTTCTCAAAATTGGATTTGACATATCCTTGTTGTAATGTAGTAAAAGGGTGCTATCTTGTTTCCCTTTATTTGAAGTTGTGCCCTTTCCTGTCGGCATAGGTTTCTGTACGTCTCTTTAATCTAAAATCAATCTAACAGCGGGGATTAGAGTATAAATGTGGCTTGTGAATTGGAGCTTAGCATGACCTTGTTTTATAATATATACATGGAACAAACTCCACAGATTGGACTTGGGATGGGGTCAATTTCATACCAAAATATCAAATACCAGTACTTCAATTTAGTTACAATTACGGAAATGTACATCTGTAATATATTAAATTACTATTACTTTGCAACATTTATTATTAAAATAACAGATTACATTTTATAAATAATCTAAATTTTATTGACAAAGGTTTATTCAAGAAGAAATGCACATTGTTTTTCAATGTCCTTTAATTAGGATATCTAATATTTCCCAATCAAAACTAAAAATTTCTTCTATTGTATTTGAATATAGTTTCCCAAATGTTAGGTCAATTTTGTTGCAATTATCTGGATGTAGGATCTTTCCAGCTACAAAAAGTCTTGTAATTTACTGACCTTGCATTTGGAGGAACATCTAAGTGTTTAAAAATATTTGAACGGACCAATCTCAATATTTCTAATTGAGAAAACGTTGCTGATTTATCGCTTTGGAAAATAAAGACCATAGGAATGAAATATATGGAGATAACGAACAGTATTCAAGCTCAAAAGTCTATTAAACAACACAAAATAGGAGCAGAGCAAACACGGACCTCCAAAACATCAGAGGCGGGACCAGGTGCCACAGAGGAGTGAGCATCCCCTGCTGACCGGTCACACCCGCCGTGTGCTCCTTGTCATGATTGGGAAATAACGGTAAAATCCGCCGACAATTCAGTTTGTAGATAATTGCCTAACAATTAGTTTTAAAAACGTCAGTCAGCATTTGACTCAATGATAAATTGTATTAGCTGACAAGGTCATTGTATTGACCATAGTACTTACGAAAAGATGACTTTAAACAAGACTGCTGATATTCTTGTTTCATCAACTTGTTTGTCAATAATTTACCTCGTTTTAGAAATTGTACATACGTAGAGCATGCTCCTGCGTATCGAATCAACTGAAAATGAAGTATTTTTTCATGAAAAGTTTTTAGAGAAATCTTGAGTCATAAAAAACAAACAAACAAACAAACAAAAAAAATCGTTCTGAAAATGCACCAAAATAAGTACAGTTGTTCAAAGCCCTGAATTCCAAAGACTATTTGTATCTAGTTGTTTTCAATGTGCAATTCAAGCATTTTTTTTTAAAAGAAAATATATACTGTGAAAAAATAGTTTTTTTTTTTTTTTTTTTTTTTTTTTTTTTTTTTTTTTTTACAGAATATTATATATTAATTGTTGATATATTTAAAAATATGAAATGTATGGAGATAACGAACAGTATTCAAGCTCATAAGTCCGTTAAACAATACAAATTTTGGAGCAGAGCAAACACGGACCTCTAAAACATCAGAAGTGGGATATTGTGTTATTCTTCATTACTATATATATAATGAAAAATCGCACGATACATTGTTTGCATATTTTCGAGTGTTGAGAATTGGTTTATGTTCTCATTAGGTAATTTTGAAAATAAGTTCTTTGAATTGAATTAAATCAAGTTTTGTTTTTTTTAAGCTGCCAAATGTCATCAACATCTTGAAAATGTTATGCAAGGCACTTTAAAAGGTTTTTCAATTCTTTTTATTTTTTCTCTGAGTATAAGTTGAATTACCAGTTTTAGAATTATCGCCACATCTAGTTTTTGACGGCGGAGTACTCCAAATACCTAATCAATACATAGGACTCACGGCGGCTCGGACCTGTCGACAGCGGATGCTTACTTCTCCTAGACTGGTGATCCCATCTCTGTGATTTACTATATGGATATGATTATTTGCTGTTCTTGAAAAGAAAAAAAAAGAATTAAAGATTTTTTCTTCTATATATTTTTATGTATACTTTCTGTTCCTCTATTGTGACGCCACCTTACTCCCTTTGGGTCATGATTTAACAAACCTGAATCAACCCTACCTGAGGATGATTCTATATTACATGTAATATGACTAATTATGGTTTTCTTCTTAAGAAGAAGAAGATTTTCAAAGATATTTCCTATATATTCCAATATATTTACATTTCAAAATATTCTGTATGAACTTATCAGAGATCACATGTCATAGCGTGATCGAATCACATAGCGAGATGACATCTTGCTTAATTAGATATTTCTGTCACAGTGAAACAGATTTCGAAACTTCTAAGTCGTTTAAGCGATGGAAAAGATAGAATTTTTAAAACATGTATGTTTCTTTGTTCAACAAATGATCGTGAGATCTTTCTTCTGTGTGAGGAATGTTTGAATTAGCCTAAAATCGCGCTTACCTTTTTAACCCGAAATTCCTTTAAAGGTATGTAAACTAAAGACGATACCACCGATTTTGACTTCATATATAGAGAAATCATACAATAATAGTAAGATAATTCTCAGTAGCGATCATTGTTCTTTCATTATGAACAGATATTTCCGGAACTGGAGTGCTGAACGTCAATTTAAATATTCAAATGTTGGAGCGAGGCGAACTCTCAAGACCAAACAGCGTCTATGTCATTGCGCGTCAAAACATAGCGTACCCTTCGTGTAATAAATGCAGTTCTACTGGGAATATTTGTCCAAATGTAAATATATGTGATAATCAACAATGATTAAAAGTTTACTGGGAAATGAACTTGGTGGGTACGTGTTCAAATCTACTGAGGAGCCCTTCTCGCTTCCCAGGATTTGATCACCTGACCAACCAAGTTCATTTCCAAGTGAACTGTTTTTTTATTTCTTTAGTAAATATTTGATTCTCTGTTGTGACCACGTCCTATCTCCGGGCTGATAATTTGAGCAAACATAAAGGAATAATCTCAAAGGTTTGGGTGCTATTTTTTTAAACAATAAATTAGCATGTACATGTGTGAAATACATAATTAGGACACTCCATTATAATTGCAAGCTCAAAAGAAGTTTGCTGATTATCAGAATATAAATACTAGCACCCGTCTGTGAAGTCTGTTTACTGCCGTCATTATTGCTCGGCATGGTTTCCGAAGATAGCCGACTCAGCAGGGAGATGCTGACCATCTTATCATTTACACTTTTGATGCTTAGTAGCAGAGAATGGAGACGGAAGAGGTAAGTTTTTACATTTAAAGCATGAATAATCTTAAAATGATACTAGAAAATTACTATTTACATGTATTTTTCTCTTAAAACACAACTCATTTGAACAGAGTGACCTCCAGCGGATTTCAATATGTGAGGGGCCTCATAAGGGTTAATTGATCTATGATCAACACTAAAGTTAGTATAGTGATGTTTATGGTTTTCTGTTTCTGATTGAAAAAAAAAAAGAAAATCATATTACACTACCAAAATCCCATTTTCTAATATAAATTTACAATTTAAAAAACTATAAAAGAATAACAATGTGCAAAAATTAGAATAACACTTTATAATTGGAATTACAAATTGCAATCCTTGATATAAATTTCGAAGACTTCCAAGTCTAAAATTTGAAATTGAAATTGAGCTTTTAAATTTTTAATTTGAAATATAAATTTATACATTAATTTTATAAAGCATATGTACATCTTTATACATGTATATATCTACAAGAAAAAAAAGCATGTTCCATATATCACTGTATACCAAATATTATTGAATTTATACAGATTTTAATAAACAGACCTCTGTAAAATTATTTGACTAAAAATGTTGAGAGTTTGCTACTATATATTTTTTTGCACATTTAAAATATGTAGCATATGAGGATTATATATCGAAATCCATTTTAATTTTATGAATCATATTAATTTTATCAAATTGTATTTTATTTTTTTTTTTAATAATATTAATTTTATTTTAGAATTTCAATTTATCGAGACAAACTTCTTCCTCCCCAGAATCCTCATCCTCCTCAGATTCGGGAAGGGATATACATTCTGAAAATTCTCAAGTTCTGCTGTGCTCCTGTAAATAACTAGATTGTGTAAATAATTTTTCTGACATTTTAGTTTTAGCAATATAACAAAAAAAAAAGATCTTACAATAATTATTTCATGTATATAAAACTGACCTGCAGTTAAGATAGTAGGTCACATTGTTCTGGAGACGCTTATCTAACACAATCTCCCTCAAGGCCACATGAGCTGGAGAATCCTTTTCTAACCATCCCTTTGTAGGTTCTTCAGTCAGTGGTGCATGGTTGCATTCGTTAATATCACTATAGGGCAAAACCCAAGTGTGTACATTAACTGTGTGGTGGAGGATTCCTATCCATTTTCCCTTGAAAAGTAAAATCTATTTTAGACCAGTTTTCGTAATTGTATGAAACACTTTTGCAAGATATATATTTTTTGCATTTGGAAACTTACAATAAACTCCTCCTTTGTGTTTGAGATGGTAGCTGTGTACCAGTAATGGTTGACATCTTTTGTCCATGATAGTATATCTTTTTGGTTTTTCTGCTGACCTGCCTAAAATACATGAATAAACACATTGCACAAAATATTCCTAAAGATATCAATTATTCAATTATGTTGAATGAAGATTTAATATTCAAAAATAAATAAGAGTATTCAAATATGCTTAATTTAAAGTTACCTTGATGATTTCTTGCTAAGTTTTTCGTCTCAAGCCAAATATCAAAAGAATGTCTTATGTCTGGGAAGTCTTTTTCTGCAAAAGTATCAAATAAAGACCATTCTCATTTCATACAATAACCTATATGTACATGTGATTTACATATATAGTAATATACATATTGATTGTTTTGTTTACGGAGGCAACTTGCACATGAGCATCTGTAACAACTTCAACAATATGAAGTCCCTTGCCCAGAAGATATCTCAAGCCCTGGACAAAGCAAGCCTTCTCGAGATTCGTGCTTTTTTTCTCTGTCACCCGCTTGTCCATAGTAATTATGTACAGAATGGTCTTGGTGTCATACTCCATGAAAGTATAGGAGCAATATTGAGCAGTGTGACCGGGGCTATCCATTCTGCCATCTCCTTTAATTAAAAAAAGAAAACATATAATGATAAATAAATCAACGTGATAAGTAAAGACATTAAGGCTATTAGCATTTTTCATAAACTTTCCCCCCATAATTTCTTTGGTATAATTGAAAAAGATATCTACCAAGTATTGTTATATCTCTTCCTTGAAACTGGTTAGAAACAGTGTCGTGATGTTCCGTCCAAAATTCATCCACTGCTGGAATCAAGTATGTCCTTTGAATTTTGTAAAATGAGTTTTTGCTCACAATCGGTAACTTCAGGATTTTCGCCATCATTGACACCTTCTGATAATTGCCTCCAGAAAGTAAAATTGAAGAGGAGAGCATCAAATCCCCTAAATGCATTCCTCTGTTTAGGACAGGCTGTGAGCACCACTGCTGTGCTTGATGTCCATCAGAACAATGCTAAAATTAATCCATACGAAAATAATTTGTTTCCAATTAATGATAGGGTACTTATTAAAAAATGAGATTGACAAGTAATTTTTTACCTACCCATTTAAAATAGAGTGCTGATCCAACAACAGCTTTCTCCAAAAGCACTTGTTTTTTGCATCCTTTAAACTGGCAGTTTGGCAGGACACGTAGTTCTGCTAATGTTATTAACTATGAGAGGTAAACAATGAAAGGGTGATCTTCCTTACAGCCCTCAATCTCCTCTTGGGTTAAAATTTTGGCAACACCCGGGCGTAAATCACCATTTGATTCCTCATCACAGCTATCCTCGTTCTCTGATTCCTCAACCATGGCTTCTGTCTGAGTGTCCTCTCTTATGAAAGTGGTTAAAAATTTTTAAAAGTTGTAATGTTTAAACATGCAGTAATGATAATTGAAAATATTAAGATAAGAAAGTAATTTATATATTATACTGACTTATACAATGACAAGGTGTCCTTGCAATACATACCTAATCGTCATTATGTAACTAGGTTCATAATCTTCATCTGATGAATCCTCTGATTCCTCGTCGGTGTAGTTTTCTGATCAACAGATTGAGAGACTGAAAAAACAAAAGTACCATAAGATACACTGATTATAAGAAATATTCAAATATATATATCAGTAACAACAAATATTAGTATTTCTGATGTATATCTAATCTTAAAAGCATCAAGGAACTAATTTTAATTTATATGATATCCATTAACTTAAATAATTATACTTACTCTAAAGGATTCAAGAAACTGCTTGGAGTTTTTGTTTTCGAACCAGTTTTCACAAACTGTTCTACACCAGATAAATCTGAATTTCTAAAAGTAAAACATAACATCTTTACATGTATATTGATATATCTTTCAAGAAAATTCAAAATTTAAAGAAGAAATTGCCAATCTTGTTGCTTATTTACCTGTCCCCCTTTTCCAGATCTGAAGATATTTCAGATAAATCTGAGAATTTGGGTGGGAAAATTCTAGTTGCTGGTCCTGGTGTTGATGTTACTGCATTTAATGCAGTTTTTACTTTCTTTGGAGAACTTTCCAATGCCAAGATTTCATTTCTTTATAAACAAAATGTATGTGCATATAGTACATTTGATACATTGATCTACTAATCTAATTTCAATAAAATATCATTAATCTAATTTCTGAAATACTGTACACATAGCATTGTATTACACAAGCAGAAATGATAAAGCAGAAAGTTTTATCTCTCTATTTTTCCCTCCTCTCTCCTTTGTTTAACAATGAAAATGTACCCCCTGGGGGCCCCTATCAGCTTTCCCGATTTGTTTACATATTGTTTACATTTGTTAATCCACATTTTCTTTCCGAAATATTGCAGATTTAGATAAAAATATCAGATAAAACTCATTCCTATTACTATTTACTTATACTGATATCAAGATTTACTTAGCAGCTTTTGTGAAAATGGACATTATTTTACTTACCGATCAAGCAAGTACTCTGCTACATCAGCATGCGATTTAAGCTGCAGTGTCTCTTTTAATTCCATCCATCGATCATATACTGACCACCTATAGCTATTCTGCCTTAATTATATATTGACATAACCAAACTTCTGTTACGTTTTCTCGCCGAATCTGTTAAAGATCGTTTTCTCCCACGTGTTGATCTCTTCTCCTCCGACATCTTCACCTACTCTGACCTCTGTCAGGGATGCGCAGTTTGTTTTACGAGCAGGGTCAGCAGGGGTCTTCGTGAATGGAGCAAAGACAAAAGCCGAATTTTTGTGTTTTTAGTTTGTTTATCAAATAAGTGATTGGTGAGGCACTCTTCCGAGTGCAAAACTGGGCAGATCAACATTATTTGACAAGGTCCATTAAACAAAATGCAGAAAAAAAGCATATCTTTTTGTTTAAAGAAACCTTAGAGACTATCCCTTTAAATCTACACTATGTAGTAAAGTTTTCACATGAGTTTCATCTTTTCTTACCCAATTGTTTTTAGAACATTTTTAAAAGATGCCATTAAATTTGAATTATTCTTAATCATTTTCTCTTGATAAAGGACATTACCTTCCATGTGAATATAAACCTTAACCTCTGTTACTCAAGGATGCTTTGTAGCAAGTTTGGTTGAAATTGGCTCAGTGGTTCTGGAGAAGAAGTCGAAATTAAAAAAAAAATACAGATAACACATGACAAACAGACCGACGGACACCGAACACTTTTCAATCAGAAAAGCTCACTTGAGACGTTCAAGATGTGCACGTTTCGATACTCGTGCACTATTAGAGCAGCGCGGCAGTAACATGTTGAAACAGATATGAAATTTCTATGTCCTAAGCAGGTTGATTTCCTGGAGGACCGCCGTAAGACATTGCGAACTTTTAATTTTGCATGATCAAACATCTGTTTCATTTTATCATTGAAATAGGCTAAATTTATACCTCTCTACATACAGAGCAATAAAGATTCTATTTTAACTGCTGAAACTTTTGAATCATTTGGTTTGAAAGGTTTTTTGCAAAAGTGTAGAAAATGTTTCTCATTAATGGTAACCTCACAACAAAGCTTTATGATAAACATGATGACTTCAACTTTTCAATTGTCAACTTCCCTTACTTATGAAGCAATGTATCCTGCCTCTGATAAAATCTTGAAATTTCATTGGTCGAGAAGAATACAGTATTAAACCATGTTATGCTGCCTACCCACATTACATTGTTAATGTACCCCCTCCATGTAACCTACCCACCTAACATTAAATCAATATGCCCCCTCCACGTGTCATACTGTCCAGAGATCATATTAAATATGTTGTTTACAGAAGCCTAATGACTGACGTCACATAAGCATCAAACGACGTCACAATGTCAACAATTGTTACGGAACGGTTTGCTTAACTCAGAGGAAATGAACTAGATCTACATGTGCATTAAAAAAATCTTCAACAGGATAAGTTCGTGATGTAGACACATAGAGGGGTAAAACGGAAATAATGGGGTTCTTGAAAAAATGCATATTGGGATCGGCCCACGCCTCGCGCAATATGTATTTTTTTATGGACCCATTGTTTCCGTATTACCCCTCTAAGTATCTATAAAACTAATAATACCCTTCTTACCTGCATATGAGGTTTATATCTCTCAGTTGATTCGATACGCAAGAGCATGCTTTATGTATGAAAAATTTCTTAAACGAGGCAAGCTTTTGACAAACAAGTTGATGAAATAAGGATATCATCAGTCTCATCTGAAGTCATCATTTTGCAAGTTTTATGGTCGAAACAATGACCTTGTCAGCACATACAACATATCACTGAGTCAAATGCTGACTGACATTTTTCATACTAATTGTTAGGCCATTATTTATACACTGAACTGTCTACAGATTTTTCTGGGATCATGACAGGGAACACACGGCGGATGTGACTGGCGGCAGGGGATGCTTACTCCTCCATGGCACATGATCACACCTCTTAATTGTGAGATTCGTTTTTTGCTCTGCTCCAAATCTACATTGTTTCACTGGACTTTCGAGATTGAATACAGTTCGTTATCTTTATATTTCATTAAGGAAAAAATTATGTTTCTAAAAAAGCTATTTAAAGATTAGATATCTATTATCAATCAATATCTTCACCTAAAGACAAAAAAAGGTCCTGTATATTGCTAACAATAAATGAGGCGCATTTGTGGTCTGTGATTCTGTAGAAAGTGTCACAAATATTTAGCCTAGCTGCCTAGGTTTAGACATTAATCGTAGGCAGAATACATGTAAACGTTTTCCTTACCAAATCAATAGCAAGACATAAACACAACATAAAAGTTATAAAAGTATATATTTTTGAATAAAAGAAAGTTTATAACCGGAACGGTAGCTAAGTCGGTAGAGCGCTCTCTCTGTGATCGAAGAGTCGTGTGTTCGAATCACGGCCGCGACTAACCTAAGTCGATAAAAAAAAAAAAAATAGGTGTCAACTGTTCCTTCGCAAAGCGCTAGGTATTCTGAAGTAAAGTTTTTGGTCCTTCGGATGAGACCTTAAAAACCGAGGCCCCTTGTCACGGTAGGCGTTGGCACGATAAAGAACCCTCACTGCTCAATGACCCTAAGTGCCGAGTAAAGGTCTAAATTTGAAGCCCTTCACCGGTATATTGTGATATCTCTATATGAGTGAAAAATTCTCGAATGGGACGTAAAACAACATTCAATCAGTCAATCAATATCAAAGTTTATACAGTCCCTGAAACGTTCTACTTTCCCACTTGAACGGTGAGCGAACGCTGAACGAACGGTGAACGAACGCAGAGCGAACGGTGAGTGAACGATGTGTGAACGCTGAACGCAACTTGGTGAACGATGTGTGAACGGTGAACGGTGAGCGAACGCAGAACGCGAACGGAGCGCAAACGCGAACGCAAAGTGAACGGTGAACGAACGGTGAACGCAAGATGAACGATATATTCGGAATGCCTCTGATCTTTTCCTTGCATTGAAACTATTTTATTGTTTTATAATGTCAGTGCAAAAAAGAAAAAAAAAAATAAATAAATAAGTAAACCAATAAATGAATGAATAAATAAGTCAGCGAAATAAATTCTCCAAAATTGTCCTAAGAAAGACGATGCATGCACATAAAGTTTTTAATCACACAATTTTTATTGCATTAAAACATTGCAATTGTTGCCGAACGCTGAAGTATAAACAAATCAGAGAAAATTTCTGACTTATAGAATGAATTAAAGCGGTTGTAACATCCATTCATATATCTCCGTGTCAGGGCGATTTCGTGTAAAGTAATGAAAAAAAAATAATTACAAAGGTCAGTGGACGTTTTGCATTTATACGCTCGTATTTTAAATTTTTGATACAATAATATATTATGTGTCATTTCTATTTTTCATGATGATTTATTGAGCAGGCTTCTACATGTATATGTAGATGGCCGTGGTTATACTTGGACAAGATAATACAAAGATACATTTTCATACTATTTGTTATAAATTCAATTTTCAGAACTTGATATTTAAGTAATATGCTCTTATAGATTTTATTAAACAGACAAATGAGAGAGAGAGAGAGAGAGAGAGAGAGAGAGAGAGAGAGAGATTCCGTTTTAGCCCCCCCCCCTCCTTTCAGGCTTCACTAAATGTTTGTACCTATATCAAACAAAAAAACTCTTAATTTTTTTTCTAAATATATCAGACAGTGAAAGTCACTTTTTTTTTTTATCAACAAATCATATCCATTTGTTTGACAGTCATACTCGTTTTTATTTTCCTGCTTCAAGTTCACACGAAGTCCACGTGCTTGTCCTGTCAATCAAAATCATTCGACACTGTGCGGGTGTGATGTTTCGTCACATCGAAGACGAAGTGCGAGTATTTCCAACAAGTTATAACATTTTTTATCATTTCTAGATTTGATCCCAACATTTGAATAATAAATGAATAAAATACATTGGGCATTAACAATGGAATTTGAAACATACTCTCCGCCAATTTCAAATACGACCGCCTACACGTGTACATTTTGAACTACTATTGTTTTGTGACTTTTTTAGATGCATGTTTGTTTTGAGACTGAAACTTTTGTTCTAAAAAAGACCTTACATTTTTTTTTTTAAATGTTAATTAAAATATTCTGGAAATACAGTACTGACTAAGTAACCAATCTAGGGGGAAAATGGGGGGGGGGGGGGGGTATCAATCATATCGAATGGCAAACCTATAAAGTCACGGTGAAGAAAGAATTTTTTCTCTATAACTATAGACTTTACACATTATAGTAGAGAAAATTCTGCAGTGCAGTACATTTCAAATAAATATTTCCTATAACCATACTAACAATTTAATTCGCTCCAAAGATAATAAATTAACAGGATATGCGCAGTACTATGTATAACTCTCAGAACTAGTTCTATCATATTTTCTGTAGTAATTGGGGAAAAAAGTGTTAGAAATAAATATTTTCGTAATTTTGCTGCGTGATTATTTGACTTGGATAATTATATCACCATTAACGATTTGTCGTCTTTAACAAAACAAAAACATGTTGCAGTGCTTGAAGTATTTGCACATTGCCCTTAGTTAAATTTAACATTTCGGCATCATTCTACATAGGTACAGAATGTGCTTATAACAACATTTATTTTCCAGAGTAATTTAATAAATAATCTAACAACTAAGATGGAATAATAAAAATATATATCGTAGATATTTTTCAACATGAAATAATGATTCCTCAAACACAATATGTTAGTTATTAAATTAAGAAAACCTGTAACTTCTTCCCTACAAAAAGATAAGTCCTTTCACTTCGGAGTTCCGAATGACAATGAAAACTGAACGATAGGTGAACGCTGAACGCAAGGTGAACACAAAGTGAACGGAACGAAGAGCGAACGCTGAACGCTTTGTGAACGGTGAACGCGAGCGCACGGTGAACGGTGAACGCAAAACTGTGAACGGAGAGCGAACGGTGAACGTACGGTGAACGCACGCTGAACGAACGGTGAACGAATGGTGAGCGAACGGAAAAATGGGAAAGTAGAACGTTTCAGGGACTGTATAAATTGCACTTTTTGTATCCAGTGACCAAAACATAAAATAGTTGACTTACTCGAGCTAAGTGTGATACTATAAAACTCGTTTAGTACGAACAGTGATATTGTGAATTCACGGATATGAAGTGTTCTTGGATCCCCAGCTCTATAAAATTTACGAATTCCTCTTACCGATATGATGAATTACGGATATAGCGAAGTAATTTAACAGGTCTTAATGACTTCATTATAACCGAGTTTTAATATATATCAAAATCAACAAATGAATGACATTGTAAAATATTATAACGTCTTTAATATAGGTAAATGCCGTACTGAGATTATAGAAAACTAGTCTCCAAAGATTGCATATACATGTATATTAACAATCAGAAAACAGGTTGCGTTTGTGAAACACTGATGCCCCCGTATGACAGCTTATGGCGAAGGTTAAACTTTCTCAAATGCAAGTCAAAATCCAGGCCAAAAGATAAAAAATGTTGGTACCCAAAGAAAGGTCTTGTCTCGAGGAATATACCTGTGAAATTTGAAAGATCTAGCTGCAACTGTTCAAAAGTTATGGCGAAGGTTTAAGTTTTTAAAAGTAAGTAAAACGTCAAAGTCAAGGTCAAAGTGGTTGGTATCCAAAGGAAGGTGAAGTCACAAGGATTACATATATGAAGTATGAACGCCCTAGCTTCAACCATTCAAAGGTTATGGCCAAGGTTAATTTTTTTTCAAAAGTAGGTCAAACTCCTAGGTCAAGGTCAAAAGGTCGAAGTGGTTGGTATCCAAAAAAAAAAAAAGACTTGTCACGAGGATTGCATATGTGAAGTATGAAAGCCCTAGCTTCAACCGTTCAAAAGTTATGGCCAAGGTTAAAGTTTTTCAAAAGTAGGTCAAACTCCTAGGTCAAGGTCAAAGGGTCAAAGAGTTTGATATCCAGAGGAAGGTCTTGTCACAAGGAATAAACATAAGACGACTGAAACCCCAAGCACCAACTGTTCAAAAATAATGGCCAACGTTAAAGTTTTTCAAAAGTAGGTCAAAATCCAAGGTTAAGGTCAAAAGGTCAAAGTTGTTGGTATCCAAAGGTAGGCGCTGTCACAAAGAATACACATGTGAAGTTTGAAACCCCAAGCTCCAACTGTTCAGAAGTTATGGCCAAGGTTAAAGTCTCATAAAATTTTGCAAAAATGGGTCAAACTCCAAGGTCAAGGTTAAAAAGTAAAATATGATGGTACCCAAAGAAAGGTCTTGTCACAAGGAATACACATGTGGAATATGAAAGTCATAGCTCCAACCAATCAAAGTTATGGGCAAGGTTAAAGTTGACAACAGACAGACAGGCAGACAAACAGACAAACGGACAAACAGACAGACAAGACAAAAACAATATACCCCCGGGATCTTTCGATCCGGGGGCATAAAAAAGCCTTTTCATTCAATAGCATGATCATTCTACTGGTATAAATTCCTTAGTTATTTACATAGTTCAAAATAGATTATACAAGGTTAACTTTGTACAATATATACATATTTTCTATTTCAATTCAATTTACTCATCTATTTCTAAATATAAGGAATAGAATGTTAACAAAATATTTTTGATTTACTTCGCACAATGTTTGTGTAGCAAAAACTTTTTGTATTGTAAATTCAACATAGCAAATATGCCGTCGAATATGCAGGTAAGAGTTAATGAAATCTTATTCTAATGCATTGGTATAGGTAAAGCTATTGATTATACATTTATCAAAAATAAAGGATAAAATAAAACTTTTATTTTTGGTATATTTATACGTATACAGACATATTGAATTTACTATTATGATCAACCAAACGGACATTATGATATAAGAATAACATATTTAGACTAAGCATGTTTCAATTTAAAGTGTTGTTATGCAGATACAAGTTCCTTAACAAAATAACAATAAGAAGAAGATGAAGCATATAAAGATATCTGAAAAAAGAAAATTATTGCCATCTTACAGTGTATTCTTACTGTTTTATACCTTGTTTTACTAATTTTAATAAAGCTCTGTTTTGTTGAAAGTATCCTCACCAAGTTAACATCACAGCAAAAGTCAAAAGCCTTTCTTTTGGCTGTTTCAAAAGTCTTCGAAATTCTACACCGAGGGCATTTTTAAATTACTTATTCTGATATGGAAGTACTACATCGGCTAAAATAAGCATCTGAATTATTGTACTGAAATATATATATCTTTCATTACTTTTGAGAAAGGTCTTTGAATTTTTGGATGAGAGATGTTTCAATTTAAAGCAATATTTCATCAGCTACTGTGCAGTAATTTTTTGAAGCTGTTCCAAAGAGTCTTCAGATTCCTAAACGAAAATTCTGACAGAGGAAAGCTAGAATGCAGAAATTTGCATGTTATTTTCAATTTAATTGTTATGTGTCGCTATTATTATAAATCCTTTGTACAGCCAATAAATCTTTGTTCAGCCAAGCAGTATCTGTATAGTGTAAGCTGGTATCAGCAGATAGCTATAGATGCTCATTTACATCAAAGGTCGGCGAAGCATCATCCTTGAACCTGTTAAAGATTTTTTATTTCCCTTGAATAGATACCAATTTATGCCTTTAGCAAAGTTGTCGTTACCATATTCTCCATTTAGATTAGATCTATGTCCACGATTATACCACCAAGCTCCTTTAAATAATTGAGCAGAATTTTCATCACTGTTCTTGTCATTATCATTATCGTGCGTTGAAAACTGTACATTGTTGCTGCAATACTGGCCGTGACATGAAATACCATCACCTACAAAGAAGGTACAATTACATAGTTTGAGACAGAGAAAACTGTAGATTCCTTATTTTTACGCGAATTCTTAAATAGCGAGATGTCCCTTAGACGTCAAATCGCAACAACGACAATTCGGGAATAGACGTTTAATCCAGAGATTTTACATGCATTTCAGCACCCCCCCCCCCCAAAAAAAAAAAATAAATAAAAAAAATAAAAGAAAGTTACCATATTTTGTTATTATTCACACGAAATAACGCTATAATTAATTCCTTGCATATATTTGGGAGTCTACAGTACACAAGTTCTTCTATAACTTTCTGGAACTTGGACATGCCATAACATGGACAGTTCGATGACTACGTATTTTGATTCAATCCAGTCACAGATGGAAAGTACTTATGTGTTTAAATATGCAAAGGAAATTTCTTGGAGTGAATGGAATAAATTACAAGATTATTTTGAATTTGCTTTAGTTTCTTTGTATTTCATGATATCTTAGATTGCTAACAAGATTCTACCTGCTGTTCCACTGTACCCAGAAACATGGATTCTGTAATTGTCTTCCTCCCCAGCTACATAGAAACTACTATACTCCGCATAGGCAGACTCCTTTCCCATTTCTAATTCTATACGTAGAACTGTAAAGCCATTCATTACTAGCTGATGGATAGTGTCAAGTCCTTCAATATATTTTAAGTAAATTGAATATCTTTGTAGTTTGCAGCATTGTTAACGTGTGCTATTTAAAATTTTAAAAAATCACATAAAATAGATTTATATATCTGTTAAGCTGCATTTTTAAACATTATCAAATTAATATTACTTGATAATCTTGGAACAAACATTTTCATATGATGTATGTACATGTACGTTCTAGCAATTAATTCCTGAGAAGTGTTTGGCTAAAGCATATACGACTGATCTTGAGTGAAAATATTTTTTTAATAGAACATTTATTAATTTGTATCAATAAAATCATTCTTTATTACAGTATTAACTCTTTCACATTTTCACATGCTCTACATACGAACGATTTCTAAAACTAGACAAGCTACTTACAAATAAGTTGATGATACAAGGGTATCAACAGTCAAGTTTCAAATCAAAATTTCGCAAATTCTATTTTCGATACAATGACCATAGTAAGAAATGCAATCTATCGTTAAGTCGAATGGAAATTGATGTTTTTCATACAAATTGTAAGACCATTATTTTGCCTGACAGGGGATGCTTATTCTTTCATGACACCTGATCCTACATCTGATGTTTTTAGAGGTCAGTGTTTGATCTGCTCAAACACTCTTTTTATTTTACCAATGGACGTTTGACTTGATTTATCTTCGTTATCTCTATATTTCATCAGCAAAAATCTAACACAAGAGGACTAACTCCTTTTACTCTTTTAAGCGTGGTTAACCAATTGTTCAGCAAGTAATTTCACCAGAAAAAAAATCTACATTGATCAGATTTCAATAGAATTCAACATCACATTTTCTCTAGCAAACGGACATTTTCTACTTCCATCACTAAGGGGTTCCGTAAATTTAAATAGTAATTGCGATACATCAAGTATTCAAATGTAGAAACATTTGCGGTTATTTCAAGAAAAAGGACAGTATTCTTTACTTACCGATCCAAAATTCGGAACTCAGTTCACCAAACCCATTTTTATATTCAGTCCATCCCCTGTAGAAGTTCACTGAACCGTCAACCCTCCTTTGTATCAACTAAACCAGAAAGGCAAATGAAGATAACACTGCAATATGTATACACATTTATTTTAAGCTATACGTGGAATATAATATATCAAACAACGATTGCTATGTGTCTTGGAAGTAATGATAACAGATTAAACGATGTGGGGAAAAAAAAAGATTTTAGCTAATCGGAATATTAATTAAACTTTAGCAAAGTCTAGGAGAACCAAATCGACCACTTTCTCAAAATATAGTTGATTATTTACACTAACTGTAGAGATTAAACACATAAATAAACCTTTATTAAGACATTTCGTATATAAAGTTAAGAAGGTGAAATAACTTTTTCTTATAGTCTGAAATTTTCACGTATAGTAAACTTATTCAGGGGAATAAAATCCAAAATATCCCTAAGATAATTTTTATTAAAATTTTGACCCTAGTTTTGATTTCCTGTAAGATGATTTGCGGTATCTACGAGGGTTGTTCGGAAAGTTCGTGGACTACCGTCATAACTTTTTTACTTAACGTCATATTATATCCAAATTTGGAAGAAATATTTCAACAGTAAATCTAAATGAAGTGTATTATTTTTTAAAAAATATCATGGTTTATTTCAAAGTTATTTAGACTTAAAAAATGCGAAAATCGGACCACGGAGCAGGTCAAAATTTCGTAATTAAGACACTAAATAATGTATGAGGTCATATCTTATGTAAAATGAAACAAAATCGGAAAAAATCTAAACGTTCAAATTAAGAATTGCTTCATCTCTTCTAAACCTAAATTATGACTTAATATTTTGCTTCGTTGAAAAGAAATCAGTTTCAGAAGATAGGTAGTTCTCATTGAAAAAGCCAAAAAGATGACGTCGTAGAACGTCACGGAGCAGCAGTTAACCATAAAATTTTGTGTTGTACTCTGGGAAACTCCGTAAAAAAAACCTCTGAAAATGCCGGAGGAAGAAGGAAATATTTCAAAAGCGAGCCATGCATGTGTGTGTACATGGTACAAGCGGTATTTGAATGATAGAATACTCTGCTTAGATGATAGTGATCTCTGAGAAAACGGCTTATCTGTAAAAATCTTCTCAAAAACATTGAAAAGTTTGCAATGTCATGCTAAGACTTTGGCGCTTCACAGATGCTGATCTTGTGAAAGCACACTTAATATGCAGAGAAAAATATATAACATTGACAAACGAAATAATGCTACTGGGACAATTGATAGCAAAATAGATTTCAAGTACTAGAGAAACGTTTTTAATGAGTGCAGTGGTATTGGGCAATACTGTGTGAAATATATAGGGATAGTATTTTTGAGAACCTAATGTCGGTATGTTCTTGACATTACAGTGTTGTTGAGTTTGCTCCGTGGTTACAAAACGTGTTGATTTTAAGATTAAATAAGATGAATTCTATTATATCACATGGAATGAAACTTCACACTTAAACAAAATAAATATTTTTACATATGATAATGTGTTCATGTTAAATTTCTTTAAGATAGTATAACGAAGACTGGCATAGTCCACGAACTTTCCGAACAACCCTCCTACAACATTGAAGAATTCTCCAAATTTAAGCTATACTAAGGGGGTATAAAATGTTCTATCCAACCCTCCGAAATCATAATATACACTGTACATCACTATTATAAAAAGCTTATCCACTGGGTGTGAGTGGGAGAGTCTTAAATGAACCCTTTTACAGGATCCATTCCTTTTAGGCAAGACCTCGGCGAATAGTTCTTGTCGCAGGGTTTGATAAAAGAGCTCTGCTCTCGTAACCAGTGAAGTCGTGTATAATATATGACATTAATTAATCATATGTATTACATTTATTTTAAAACTTTAGCCAGTATTAATATATGCAGTGACATATTAAGAAAATGAATTACTCTGAAAGGGCACTTGAAAAAGGCATTTGGGGAAAACAGGTCATTTTCTTATAATTTTGAGCCATAATACTCAATGACATCTTGTATAAGTATTCATCAACTGGAAAGATTTGTTGATTCTTTGTTAATTGAGATTATCTGGGCTCGATTTGACAATGTTTAGTCAATGGATTCAAAGAAAGGTCAAAGTAACTTTCTTTGATTTTCTACTCACCATATCCCAAAGATTTATCACCCGATAAGTTATGGTTGCACCAGGCATCGAAGTGTAAAAAAACAACAACATAAAACCCAACTCAAAAATTCAGATGGTAAATGCCAAACATAACACGAAATGTTGAAGTAGGGGCAGGATTAGTTTAAAAACATGATACATGAAGGAAAAAAACTCAATTTTGATAGGACATTCATTGCTTTCTGAGAAGCGGGGTTGTTTTTCATCCAGTGTTATGTTTTTCACATCGAATATATATTTTGAGGATGCCATATTGATACAAGTATGTACTTAATATTTCGTAATGTAATCATTCCTTAAAAGCAAATCATCGAGGTTACAATCAATTCCTCATTAATTCTACTGAAAAAGAACATGTGATAGTTTACTCTCCGATTCTAATACTTTTCCCCCATTTTTTTCTCCGATTTTAACATAGATGTTTATAATAATCAATTTGGTTCATTTTGACCTTGCTACCATCAATGTCATCCGTTTTTTTTTAAATTTAAAATGATTAAATATTAAATAAAAATGTAATGCATTAAACATTTACTGTCCAAACAGATCCTTCAGTGTGCAAACATGTGACCTTGAAAAGTTCACCATTCCTCTTTCCCATGTACGCCAACACTTCGCCAGCGGATATGGGGACAAAAGCACAGTCAGAAACTAAAATGAAATTAGTTCCATATCTGGAATAATGGGTTAAAATCAAACGACCGATGATGCTGGATAAAATTTTAAATTTATGTAGTGAGGAATAGGGTATATACTTTTGTCAGAATAGGGTATAAACTTTTGTCAGTTTGTGTTGGATTACTCTATTTCTTGGAACGGCTCATTTTAAACTGGTCTATTATTTGTCAATAGAACCTTTATTTTTGCGGAATAACAATTAAATTACATTAATAACTATGCACTCTGATTAATCATGAAACATCAATGGAATTTTTTAAAAAAATCTACAGATAGGCTTTCATAGGAATAAAATAGGAAAACCATATAAAGAATGTTATTGGTACGTGTAAAAATATTTAATTGTTGATTTGATTCAACACTCAACATTTTCTTTTTGTGTTTTTTTAGGAGGGATTGCGGTTCAACTAATTGAAAAGTATGCTATTTTAAGCTTTTGTATGCTTAATATATACATTCTAATGTTGACTCTAATTCTATTTAATAATTCATTGTATTTTACTCCTTAGTCTGTTTTCAAAGGGACATAACTCCAATAAAAAAGACTGATATCATATGCAACTTAGACTGCGACTCCTATAAGTACAACTGTGTAGCATTTCTATATCCATTATCACAAGGTTTACACTAGAAATATAGTGTACCTTTTCAAATTAAAGGAAAGGAAAGATTAACACCTAGATACATGTAGATAGAAAGACGAAGACACTTGACGAGGAGCAAACACTTAAAGTTCCCAAGTTCAGCGATGGAGGGGGAAAAAGTCGACAGATTTTTTCATGCATAGAGTTTTTTTTTTAAATTCCCCCCCCCTTTTTTTGCCATCATTGAAATAACTCTTTCGAGGAAGCACTAAGCGAAAAAAAAAATTAAATTATTTGACAACACGTTCATGTTCTATCAAAAATCGTAAAGTAATGTCTTTCCATTAATGATAGAAGAGCTTTAATTGAGAAAATAGTAATAACAAAGTAAACAAAATAAAATTTAAAAAAAAATATATTATTGAGATAAAAAAAAATGTTCAAATCCCCCTCTTTGTGAATTAAAATATAGAATTTGTTACTAAATATAATCAGGGAACAGATGAACAAAATTAACTGATTTTCTCTTTTTGATAAGATCGCAAGGGACAAGATAGACTAAGGCCCCTTTTTTGACCCCTAGTTTTTGGTGTGTCTAAGAACGATGGAATATGTCATCATCAAAAACCTTTTATCATTGTTACAAAATAAGTATTGGATATACAAAGGGGCCACACGGAGGTAACATTTCCTAAATTTCTCATTTTTATTGCACTTTTTTTTTCGTTTTTAGAGCAAATTTTGTTTCAGAAAACACATAGCACAAACTCACCTATCTTTCAAATTAGCATACTTCATGAACTACTACATGTATCAGTTGCATTTATTGTATATAAACGATAGATTGTTTTTGTGTGAAATAAGGGGCCACATTTGGTCTTTCACATACTTTGTCTTATCATCATTCGGCCATAATACGTTTATATTTTCAATTTACTTCTGTAAAAATCAATAGAATTTATCTTTGATCAAGAAATACATACGAGTCAGTTCACAGTTGTATGAGCTAAAAAATCCTCTGTTACAACTTCCATTAGATTCACAGTGTGAGTGATGACAAGATCCAATTATTTCCTATGAAAAGTTAAATTATGTATAAGTTTCTTTAGAATTACATGATTTTTTTTATCATTTATAAATACACAGTGAAAATAGAAGAATGAATATCTTTATAAGGCATACCATAAGAAAACAAGTTACTTTTAATGTGCAATTGAGTTAGGATTGAGCAATATTTTGATCATTGTTAGACATGTATGTTTGAGTTTTTTGAAAGTATATTTCAAAACTTACCAAAGGCAATGTTTTCTTTCTGCTGAATATCCATACCGCATGGGTAGAATTATTTGAATTTGAAGTTTGATCCTTTTCATTGTTCGCTTTACAAAAAATCGCCGCGCGTCTATAGTTAAAAGACCAACACTCCTTCAACTGACTCCAATTAAAGTTGTTGTTATAGTTTTGTAGAAATGCATGAATCATATCTTGTGCAATGACCAGGAATATGTAACCTTTAAGGAAATGCATTATCAAATATTTCTCAAAAAGAAAATTTTTTGTATTTATTAGGGATTTGACAATGAAACCCGGGTACTCCTATAGTTCAATCAATTAAAAAACAAAGCAAGGAAATTAATTTTGAACGTAGAGTATATGTAGGTCATAAGATACATTAAGATTATCAAATAGTTTGGAGGAGACAGCTGATTAAAAAAAATCCAAATTATTTGATTTTTACAAATGAAAGATTTCTATCTCACCAGTACGGGTATTTATTCTTTTTTTTCAAAGGTGTTCTCCAATTCTTTGAACTTAAATTCCTTGAAAATTGAATATTGTTTTAAAGATATTTTATTGAAAATCAAAATAATAATAATAATAATAATAATAAAAAAATAAGATAATAAAAATAAAAAAAAATATTTAAAATTTTTTTTAAAAAAGTTCCCCTTAAAGAAAATTTGTTGAGAGTCAACACATGAATCAAAGTTCAAAACAAGAGACAACGTTTTTAAAGTACACTGATTCTTGGATTAACTGAATGATTGATTGATTTTATGTTGTTTTACATCCCGTTCGAGGTTTTTCACCCATTTAATAATAAAGAAGTTACCGGTGAAGGGATTTGAATTTATACCTTTACACGGCACTCAGAACCATTGAGCAGTGAGGATTCTTTATCGTGCCTACGCCTACCGTGACACGGGCATCGAGCTCAATTTTAAGGTCTCATCCAAAGGACGTGCAACTTTCACTTAAAAGTGAGGAGCGCCTAGAAAAGTACAGTAACTGTTGCTACCTATTTTTTTTTTTTTTATCGACTTATATCAGTCGCGGCCGTAATTCGAAAACACGACCTTCCGATCACGGATTGATCGCTCTACCGTCTGAGCTACCGTGTCTTTGGGGAAAATGAAATGATTTTATCAATCACAATTTTCCTTAACAGTTATCACTTAACAAAGTGTGAAATTAACGTAAAGCAAGTAATGAAATCAACAACGATTCCAAAACGCGTCATTTGCATTTTGAATAAATGATGACAATATGGAAGAGAGATAATGAGATTATTTTCAGTAATTGCATACAGTTGAAGGCTTCTAATTGAATATCGATTTTTTTTTTTTTTTTTTTTTTTTTTTTTTTTGATATAACACTAATGTTTTCCATTTTTGTCCGTAATATTTGAATCTAATTACCCCGCCCGGAATAATAGGATGGCTTCGTGGATTGGTGTATAAAATCCAAACCGCTTAAGGTACTTCAATGAATTTTACACTCTTATTCAACATCGTTTTTTCTTACTACAGAGTACACTATAAAACTATAAGTTGTGGTTTTTTCATAATTGTAAATGTTTCCTTAAGCAACGATATGACAACGTGAGGCAACTCAAAATACGACGTAGTTTTCCATAGCTATACAGATCTATGTAACAGCTGCCCAAACGCTTTAAATGCATAAAAGCATAGTTACTATTTTGTTTACGCTAGGTTTAATCTAAATTTGTAAACTATGTATATAATTACATTCCATTCCCAAGCAGAGTTGTTTCTGCTATTTCTATAACGTATAATTGTGAGGTCAGGACTTTGTTGATATGAGCATTTCTCTTCCAATGAGCAATTTATTTCACGCATGTTATGTGACAAAATTTTATAGAATTTTACTTCTTTTTGTGAGTTCAGTGAGATCTAAATTCGATAGAGAGTGCTTAAGAAATTAGTTTTTAAATATAAGGCCGGATGGAAGGGATGTTTTCTTTTTGCAAATTTTATACTTCCACTCTTGAAAAAGAAAACTCACTGCTTCGGAACTGTTTGAACAGGCCGGACGATAACCTGATTTTACAATCCACAAAAGATTCAATAAGAGGAGAGATAATGCCGATTCGCGGTTTGGGTGTCCGAAATCAACTACGTTAAAATAATAACTTCCTAGTATGCGGTAGAAATTGAACTCCAGCGAGCGGATTAAGCTGTGTGACGGTACATATTGTCGTTTTGTACATATTGTTCGGCGACAATAAATACCTACCCTCACTGCACATATTGTCATCCATCGGTACATATTGTCGCCGGCGACAATATGTACAGAGACGAGCCTTATTTTCCTCCTGCATAATGGACGACAAAATATACAGTCAAGCACCAGCACATATTGTCGTCGGCGACAATATGTACAGTCAAGGTCGGCATATATTGTCGTCGATGTATTGTTTTGACGAATATTTACTTGAGAAAGGAAAGAGAGATTGACAAACAAATACACACGCACGGAGGGAGACAGACAGCATTACTCGCAATACTTTAGGGAGAAAACTTTTTGGTCAGAAAATTGTGTCCGGGATTGATGTACATTACTATGATTTGTCAAGATATCGTAATTCTTGAGATATCTGATAAATCAGCTTATTATTGTTTCTTGTAATATATACGTGGAGATTGAATACATGTACTAGTTTTTTTGTTCAGTAGTAATGATTATTTGGAAATTATTGCGTTATTCTTATACACAATCATGTGCCGATATAATTAATGTTGGGGTTTTCATTTTTAGATCACCTGAACTGGAAGTTTAAGTGAGCTTTTCTGATCACATTTTGTATGACCGTCCCTCTGTCTGTAAACTTGCCACAAAGCATCCGTGGATAAAGGGGATTGAAGTTTGTTCAAATGAAGGACCATGCCCTCTTTCAAGGGAAGTAGTTAAGGTCAAGATCTAGTAAATGAAAGGTGCCTACACATTTTTCAAATTTGAGGGGCGAGTTCTTTTAATGGTCCTATACAAATATAGCTTGGTAAAATAAGGTGTTTCGGGACATAATTTTTTAGGTAAACTCAATGAAAAAACATGTTTAAACTGTCATTTTCACTGTAAAATGAAGAAAGTCAGGTATAAATTTCAGAGTTTTTCCATTTAAAAAAAAGGAAATGTATCAATTTTGCCCACAGTCTCTCTTAAAACGGTTTTTTGCATCTTCTTGACCTCTACTTTAAAATGATATTTAATTGAATATAGGTATCGGGGTTACTTTTGACATGATTTCATATTGAATTCCATGAAAATGCTTCATTTCCTTTATAATTCTATTACAGCCATAAAGTACGGGGGAAAAAAGTTTAAATCAATTATGATGACATAATGAATATAGCTTAAAAAAGATAGTCTAAACTCAATTACTAGATCTTGACCTTAAGAATTAGTGAAAATTTAGTGACATCTTTTGAAATCTTCTCAAGAACCACTGTGTCAGAAAAGTTGAAACTTATATGAAAGCTTCATAATGAAGTGTAGATTCAGTTTTATTGAGATCATGTCCCTCAAAGGTGATCAAAGTTTTTCATAGAATATTTAGAAAAAAATTCTTTCAATTTTTTTTTTTCGAGAAGTACTTGGTCAGAAGAGATGATACTTACGTGAAAGCTTCGTTACATAGCGTACGTTCAATTTTGAGGTGCTAACACGAAAAAGATCCCTCACTGCTCAATGACCCTGAGTGCCAAGTGTAGGTCTAAATTTGCAGCCCTACAACGGCAAGTGGTGACGTCTACATACGAATGAAAAATTCTCGAGATGGACATTATAACAACAAAGAAACAAAATCAATTTTGTTCAAATCATGACCCCAGGGGTAGGGTAGGGCCAAAATGGGTGATCAAAGTTTTACATAGGAATATATACAGAAAATCTTTAAAAATGTTCTAAAAAAACCAGAAAGATGTAGCACCAGTGCCCCCCCCCCCCTTCCCGGTGGTTATTTTTTTGTTCTGCTTTGGTAAATTATGTTTGTTTAACTTGTATATACTCTCAATTTAGTCCACAGGTAAATTTCATGATTAAATAATTTACTTAACATATACAGTAACACACCTTTACATGCAAATGACTTTAAAATTTTTTTGCTTGTCAAAAAAAAAAAAAATCTGATCTGCCCACCCACCCACCCCCCACCAATCCACCAATGAGAACAGCGGTAGGCTCATGATTAGTGATGTTTATATGGAAGTATCATAAGGTAGCGCAGATTAAAGTTTCTTCAAAGCAAACCGGGCTTAGGGTGGGGCCACAATGGGCGATCAAAGTTTTACATATGAATATATGGAAAATTCTTTAAGAATTATCTTCTAAAAACACATCAAAGCAACGATTAGTCATATTTAAATGGATTGATTGATTGATTATGATTGTTTAACGCCTAGTCGGTAATATTTCAGCCTTATTTCGGCGATCAAATTAAGTGTATATGACCATTTTTGAAGTTTTTGGTTTCTCTAGCTATATTTATACGGAGCATTGCCGTGCATTGTCATGCGACATGTTCTGATGGACGACAATATGCACAGTAAGGGTAGGTACATATTGTCGCCGGCGACAATATGAACAGGACGACGAAATGTACCGTCACAATCACGCTGTTTGAAATAGCATACGAGATACGTCAGTGTGATTAGCGCACCAATTACATTCACAAAACTACCAAAAACCAACAAAATAAATCTTTAAGCAACAATATTTGTGGGGCGACAATATGTACAGTGAGGGTGAGGCACATAATGTCGCCAGCGACAATATGTATATGTGTAACTTTTCAGCCGGCGACAATATTTACCGATGGACGACAATATGTGCATTGAGGGTGGGTACATATTGTCGCCGACGACAATATGTACAAAACGACAATATGTACCGTCACAAGCTGCCAAAGTCAACTTAAGAGCTTTATCTTTTGTATAATTCTATTTTTAAGGACAATAAAAGAATAAAAAAAAATATGCTCACTCGCTACAAATATGTCGAAATAATATTTTCACAATATTGGGGAAA